CACATAAGGTTGCACTGACTTGCAGTCCATTGACAGACATGTTGTTATGAATATGAAATCCACTGTTAGGAGATACCAGCGACTTGCTCCCTTACGAAGCTGTAGTGTCTTCCCTCAGAGACTACCCTGCAATCTGAAAATGGCTGCTCAGGATTCCCACATCAAGCTGCTGCCAGCCTGCTTCCCTAACTTCCTTCCAGAGGGTGAGTGTTTTCCACCAGCACACACTCCTCCATTTCACATTGCTTGTATTTCTGACTATTGAGGGAGGCAGAGATGTCTCACGCTGCCTTCAGGCTCTAAATGGCTTTCTGTGTCTTTATTTTCCTGCAACACTTCAAGGATCAGTTTTCTTCATGCCTCAGAGAAGTGGCATCTAAATCGTTTTAAACTGAAACAGGGACAGAATAAGCTGTGCAAATCATTTTCTAGTAGAACCTTAATTACATCCTGCAGTGTCTCGTCCTCAGCAAGCCACCAGCAATAAAATTCTGCATTTCATTTTAAAACCGACAAGGCTGGGTTTTTCTATTTTGTTTTCCCCAATTGACATATCCATAATCTAGCCTGGGACTTTGTTCCACAGAATTTTTGTCAAAGGCTCTAGAGAGTGTGCCTGCAACTACTAAATCTTTCTCAGGTTCGCATTCAATTTGCAAGTTATACAACTGTAGCTAAAGAAAGAGACGTACTGTTTGCAGAAAGGTGTTTGCCAGATCCCCAGTGACAATGGCAAAAAGTGATTTATAATCAGTTGTACTTAACATGGCCTCTCAAACAGATTTTTAGAAGTATTTACAGCCATGGCCTAATGCCAATGCTTTTTCTATAGAATGTGCTCAATTTCAGCTTGTGGTGATGTCCTGTGACTCAAATGCAAAAGCAAATGGGTACAAATATTGAATACATCCTCTTGATGAGACAAAGGGCTTTTTACTTTCTAAATATCCCCCCATGCTCCACTACTACAAGTTTGCCTTTTCCAGTTTTTGGTTTGTGCAGGGGTGCTGGTGACTTTAGTCCCTCAGTTCACAAGATGCTCACAATTACAGTTCCATGCTTTGATAATTTAACAACTCCAGCAACTTAATGTTTATGGGGTCACAAACATCTAGGAATTCTCCAGTGATGGTGGCCTTCAGGAAAAATAGTAGCTGCAGCAATGACAGTGGTAGTGACAAGTGCTGTGTCTTTAGGAGGAACCAGAACTCAGTTCATCCTTCTGTGCAGGAGTCCTAGGTTTTCTTAACTCCTCCAAGAAAGATGGATTTATCTGTGCAGTTTTTAAGGGGTACAAATAAAAAGCTTTAGATATATTTCTGGCCCAATGCTTATAAGTGTATTTACATACTCAATTCACACTAAATAGGTGTTCTTCTTTCTCTTTGGGGCTGCCAATATGAAAAAAAAAAATTAAGACACTGTCATCACTGTCATGAGCACTGGAATCCTCTGACACATACAAATCCCTCAAGGGATGAAACCAGTGCAGCTCTTGCATCTTTTCCCAAGCACCAGATGTAGTTGGTTTGTGTTGCTCACACAGCATGCACAACTACTTAAACTGTGACCTTGAGCTTGAGCTACAGATGCCTTTCCCACTGTTTCTTGGAAGCTCCATTGTTTCCTTTGCCTTGACAAATCCTCAGGCTGGGTTGAGGGCTGGGTTACTGACTTCCTTCACAGGCACACTCTGATGGGATTTCGTCAAAACTCAACTCTGGGGTCTCCAGCATTGTTTTGCCCAGCCCAAACCCGAGGTTCCGCAGACCCTGCAGAGTCTTAGTCTGAGCCTTCATTCATAACCCCAGCCCTTACTGGGTGTCCTGTTCTGGCACTACACTTCTCTGCAGTGCTCCAGTTGCTGTAATGCTTTTATAATCCCCCTCCTTTGCATAAAATAATTGAATATTCAATACCAAACATCCCCAAGCCATGTACTGCAGTGTGGCCAGCCCTGAATCCTGACAGCCACAGTCCAACACCTCCACAGGAATGCATGTTATAAGACACAGCTCAGAGCCAGGGGAAAAGAAGCTCCACAAGGATCTCACCAACAGGAAACAATCTTGACTCTCCAGAAGCTGTGTGGCTTCTTATGAGAAAGACTGGACTCATCCCCAGAAGCCTTGGTAATGTCAATCACAGGTTTTGAAGCTCAGCAGCCTGTACATTTTCCTTATTCCCTCTGCTGAGATGGCCATTCTCCACAGGAAATATTCCCCATTATTTGAGGAATCCAGAGGACTTCCACTTGTCTCAAAAGGATGAATTAAAGGAGGACGGCCCCCACTGCCACTCCTGCTCAAGCAGATAGCAGCAAAGAAAAGCCAGACCACAGCTCTGAGAGAAACTCAACATGTAGGAAGAATGTTTTCTTCAACTCAATCTTAAAAGCAGCTTGGAGAACCAAAGTCTTTCCTGAGCACCCTTCTAACCTATGTTGAATATGTAAAGCAAGGACACCAGATTTACAGCCAAGAGATTTTCCACTCCGGGCACATGGAACAGGATGAAAGTAAATTTGTGGGTGTTTATGCTTGATTTGGCAGAGAAAAAAAATGAGGGAGGGGCTGTGTTTGAGGGAGGGTATCAAAGATCAGAGCCAGATGCTCCTGCACGGAGCTCTGGATTTACAGGAAATTAAGAAGGTAGAGAAGGTGAGGCAAAGGCTGTGTTTGAAGTGAGAGTCAAGGGGTTCTGAGGCTTACAACCATCCAAGGTGCTTGGGGGGAACTACAGCACATGCCAAAACCACACCACAGTGGCCTGGGGTGCTTTCATTATACAAAGCCTGGGAGAGCAGAGCCCGTAAATGTAGCTTCAAAAGAAGCTTCATCTTAAAGTCTTAGCTCTCAGGGCCTATTAAACATTTATGCTGACTACCACTCCTCCTATTTGCTTCAGAGAAAGTACCCGAAATAACCTTTGCTACAGAGTGAACTACTACAGCTCTACTGGCTGAGTAGGAGACTTAGCAGAGAGCTGTGAGAAACAAACAGAAATGGTGTTGGAAGAGTGTGCTGATGTCTCTATTCAGTCAGCCAGGAAAGCAGCAGGAAAATCTGGTCTGGAACCTGAGAGGGAAGACAGAAAACTTTGCTAGAACTAATGGGTGGATTAGTGATGTAGAAATGGCTAAGACTGAGTGAGGCCAGTGGAGGCAAATATAGATATTTAAAAGTATTGGCAATTTTTTGGTTTTACCTTACTAAGGTTGACACTTTTGGGGGAGTCTTCAGACCAGCCTCTAGTTGGGTCTGTGGCCACTGCAGTTCTAAGAAGAACTATAGAAGAAAAGAAAGAAGGCAGACCCCTATGCAGGAATCAAAAGAAAGACAGAGGATCTTGAGGAGAAGATGAAAAGAAGGGATTAATTTTCCTGATTTGCTTAATAAATGTTTGGCCGTGCAACAAGGATTTAGGATGAGACAGCCAGAAGTACTCAAGGCTTTCACTCTAGGAAGTTGTTACTATTAATAGCAGATAATACACAAAGATTCACTTATTCCCTCACAGGGACAACCCCAGTAGAGGGCTGTGCTGGCACTAGCACCTTCCAAGCAGATGTTCAGAAAGTCCCTTAAAGTGACTTATTTCAATGGGTGCACACAGGATCCCGCAGACTTTGCCTGTAGGAGCTGCTGCCCTCCGGTCACACAGCCAGGGCTTGATCCCAGTGTTCACTTGGGGCCTTGCACAGAGTGAGCAGACTTGGTGCCTGGATTTTATCAGCTCTTGCAAATTCAGTAGAACTACTGGTCTCTGGAATTTAGCAGTCCTTGAGAAACCTTCACTCTCCTTGTCAGCACATGCTTTTCCTCTTTGGTCTGTTTTCTGGTAATCATTTCTCCACCCAAATCTACAAATACTTACAGGACCAACTCAGTTTCACAAAACAGAGGCCTTTATGACTAGTGGAGTTGGAGGCTGTTGTGGCTAGAGTTCACTCTATAGAAACTTAGTGTAAACATGGCTCCTTCCTATTAATGAGCAACCACAGCTCTTCTTCCTGAAATCCAAACCCACCAAGCCAGGAAAAATGAATGTTTAGTGTTCACATTTGAATATACGGACCCTATGAAGATGGGACAGACTTTCCCACATTCAGCCTCAGGAAGAAACATTAATTGACTGGTCTGGATTCATGTTTGGATGGTATCTGCTTATCCCCAATCCCTCTGACCTACGTTCACTTGGGTGGCTTATCAGCTTGGGTATTGCATCTAGCACCCAGCTGATAAGCCTGTTTTTTGAAGGATGGCGAAATATGACCGAGCTGACCTAAACTCAACTACCAGACACTAAGAGGAGGGTAGCTTTGAATACTGCATTCTTACAAACCATTTTGCAAAGTGAAAGTCCTACACATTATGTTGATGGTGCTCAACCACCGATTCTCAGTTCTCTTCTTTCATAGAGCCATGAAATAGCTTGAGTTGGAAGGGATCTTTAAAGATCATCTCAGCCTTGAAGGACATCAACGTGTTGCAATGAGTCCAAAGGAGGGCCACCAAGATTACTATGGGGATGGAGTAGCTCCCCTACAAGGAAAGGCTGAAAGAATTGGGTTTGTCCAGACTGGAAAAAAGACAGCTTAGGGGTGAACTAATTGCAGCCCTCCAGTACCTGAAGATGGAGAGGGACCTTTTACATGTAGTGACAGGACAAGGAGGAATGGATTAAAACCAAAAGAGCATGGGTTTAGATTAGATATTAGGTAAAAAATTCTTTACTGTGAGGGTGGTGAGCCACTGGTACAAGTTGCCTAAAGTTGTGGATGCCCCATCCCTGGAAGCGTTCAAGGCCAGGTTGGATGGAGCTCTGAGCAGCCTGGTCTAGTGAAAAACATCCGGAACTAAATAACGCTTAAAGTCCCTTTCAACCCAAACCATCTGATGATTCCATGACTCCTTGCAGTCCACAGCACTAAGTTGCAAGGAAATGTATACAAATCAGTCTGAACCTTTATATAGTAACGATGAGATTTGTGACATTACCCTAGATGTTCAAATTGAATCAGGCCTTGGCAACAGCGAGTGGCGGGCCAGGAGAAAGAGCCTCTTCCAGGCTGGACCGACTGCTTGGTGGATCCAGGCACTTTGGGGGAAGTTCTCCCCGCAAAACGCCCGAAGGCAGCGAGGGCCGGCAGGCAGGCCCCCAGAGCCGTGCGGAGCTGCCGGGACTCCTGAGGGCGGAGCTCGGAGGGCGCTTGGAGGGGCTGCACACTCAGAGCTCCTCTGGGCAGCGGCTGCCGTGCAGCACGGCCCCCTCAGACTCCGCCATGGCGGCGCGGCCATGTCCGCCCGGCCGCCCCCTCAGCGCTCGGGCGGGAACTACAGCTCCCGTGGCCGCGCGGGGCGGGCGCGCCGCCATCTTGGGCCGGGCGGCGGGCGGCCATGGCCGCGGGGCGGGCGGCGCTGGCGCTGTGGGCTGTGGCGGCCGCGCTGTGCCGCCCGCAGCCCGCCCTGGCGGCAGGTGAGCGGCGGGCCGGGGCCGGGGCACGGACGGGGCCGGGGCCGGGGCCGGGGCCGGGGCCGGGGCACGGACGGGACCGGCGGGCCGGGCGGGCGGCTCCCGCAGCGCCCCGCGGCGGAACGCGCCCGACCCGCTGCCCGTCCCCGCCTCCCCAGCGCGCCGCTTGTTCTGCTGGCGGATGGAGCGAACCTTTGGCTTTTCCTCCCCCTGTGTGTTTTAGATGCCAAGTGGAAAACGATAACTGGCCAAATTAAGAGAGCTGTGGAAGCCTATGAGCCGTGTGTAAAGGAAAATTGCAGCTGCCACCAAAGGTGAGACTAGTTTCCTTTCGACTGCGCAGGTGTCTGGACATAGGAGGGGATGCTTTCGGCAGCCCTGATGGAGTGGGATAAGCCAGGGAATATTTTGGCCCAAAGGTGTCACAGCTGCAGCTCTGGGACCGCCGCTGGCCGCACACCTTGTTACCCTCTGCAAGTGGGCACACTGTGTGTTGGCATTTCAGGTATGACCACACAGTAAAGCATACACATAGCTGGTGACACTTCTCTTAACAACCCACTTCTGCCCTCTCACTCAGTAGGGCTGGGGAGGGTTGATACGTTTAATCAGCATTTTTATTTAAAGGAGGAAAAGGAATTTAGAAGTTACCCTATCCTTCTGCCTTTAGAATTAGGATTTCAGATGCAGAAACACAGATGCCCAACTTCAAGCCTCCTATTTAAAAGTATAAGATGTGCTCACTCATTCTGGGGTCTGAGTGCTATATTGACTTTTAAAATCAGATGAGTCATATTGAGCTACTGTTTGTACACTCTGTTTGGAGTTTTTTATATTCATTCCTTTTGAAATATTGTTGAGGAAAAGTATCTTCTAGCTGAGCTTTCCAGTCTTTCCTAAGTTCCAATCCAGATACAGCCTAAAGACATATCCTAATCTGTAAACATACACCCTACCAGCTCCTGCCCACCTTTGGGACAGACACCTTCCCAAGTGATTACAACCTCCAAAAATCTGCTGCAGATCATGACAGGCAATAGTAACATGAAGTTAGGCTGTGAATGTGCCATGGCACTGCAACTCTCTTCCTGTCCTCAAGCTCATCCTGTTTGCATCCCTACCACACTGCTCATGCTGTTGTTGTCAGACTATCTGCACAATGGCAATTTCTGACATAGTTTTACTGCTCTCTATCCAATTAGGAAATAGCAGAATTCTGGAGGCTGGAGGGGACCTCTTGAGATGATCAAGTCCAGCCTCTTGATATCATCAAGTTCAACCTCTCTGCTCAAGTAGGGTTTCCAGGACTGTGACTGGTCAGGTTTTGAATAGCTCAACATTAATATGCCAAAGAAACTACATCCTCTCTCTGCAGCCTGTACTCGTGTTTGACCACTCACACAGTGGGATCACCCTGACAGTGTTTCCTTAAACTGAAACATTGATGAAATGTCTACCTAAAAGCAGAGAATGTTTCCTTGGCTGTTACAGTCTGACACTGTTTAACATGCGCCAAGCAGTTAGATCACAGGACTTTTAGGCTGATTTTATATAAGTTGCATCCTCCTCCTCTATTATTCATTAGGTTTGTGCTTCCATACTGTATTCCTGGAGCTCGCTAGTGGTGTGCAGAAATCACAGGACGTGCTGCATAGACCTGTCCTCCTGTGTCAGCTTTCACTCAGCCAGTATTCCTGGGTGATGGTATTTCATGCAACTAGACTGTCACCTACATTTTTAATATCTACATAGCATGACATTGAGTGAGGAATTTAGTCTTGGTGTGCCCCATCATTTTTGGAGAGCCAGAGCACAAGGGTGAAGTGAGCTGGTGGGTTTTACCCAAAGCGTGGCAGGGTATGTCAGGTACTTCTGTGAGAGAGCGACTAGAGTTGTCCTGTGCTGGGCTTTGTGTTCAGGCAAACAGCACATAGGTAAAAGTGTGAAGCTTGGACCTATGAGTCTCTGAGGAACTTCCAAATTACTTAAATTCTCACACCAGAGCTCCTAGAGCTCTTTTAGCTAGAAGAAGAGCTTCTTTTAGCTATGGAGCTTCTTTTAGCTAGAAGTCTGTTCTGTACACTGCAGTATTTAATGCACAGTATCCTCCCTGTGGTACATAATAATGGCTGATGGTTTTGTTTCAGTGTCTGGAAGCAGGACCTGGCTCCTTTTCGAGGTGGCATTTCCAAGGAGACAATGTCAGATGTGGTGAGCCGGAAGCTCGGGACCCACTACCAAATAATTAAAAACAAACTGTATCGTGAGCAGGACTGCATGTTCCCTGCAAGGTAAGAACTGTGCAGAGGATCTGCTCTCCCTAGCTGGGACAGAAGAGTACTTCCAGCACTGCCAAGTTGGTAGTTATTGAGTACAACAATATTTCAGCGTTCTGAATTCCTCATCAGAGCAGGAGCCTGGGAAATGAACTATTAGGCTTATATGCATCAGTAGGAAAGTGTCACTGTTGCACTACAGTGCACAAAGGGTTGGTTGGTTGGAGAATCCCAGAGAAATTCAGATCAGGCCAGATTTAGTAGGATGTGTTGTCTCATTGGTGCTCATACTGCAGTGGGGACTTGGAGGCTGCTGTGGGCAGTTCCCAGTTTGCACCATGGTATGGCTTAGGCTCGCCATCTCTTCTGCCTCTGTGCAGAGGAAGGCCTGCAAGAGACTGCAGGAATCTGCCTCCTTACAGCTCTTTTGCCATGTGTCATTTCTCCACAGATGCAGTGGAGTTGAGCACTTCATTCTGGGGATCATCCACCGCCTCCCTGACATGGAAATGGTGATCAATGTGCGAGACTACCCCCAGGTTCCCAAGTGGATGAAACCCATTATCCCAGTCTTCTCCTTTAGCAAGGTACACACACCTTTAAAAGCTGAGCATTTCCAAGATGTGCATGTCCTTCTTTATCTTGGGAACATATTTTTGAGGATGGTTCTCTGCAGATTTTCTGTGCAGCAAAATTGCTTGCACTTTCTTGCCCTTTGTTTCCTTTGCTTCCAATTTTCTGACAGACAGAGTTGCAGATCAATTTGATAGATCAGCTTTTCCCCTCATTAGCTCCTCTTCCAGGTCAAAAAGTGTACCTCTGCTGCAGTGGAATGATACACATCTGGGTGGGATATGTGCCAGTATCCCTCCCATTGCTACAATACCTCTGTTAAAATCGTAGCTGTAGTTTATCAGCAAAATTAAGGATTTTTGATCATGTCAGTGGTCATACCGTAATCTCATTTAATGTGAATATTTTAGTCCTTTTTATGTGGTGCCACAGATGGGTGTTTTTATAATCTTGTCACCTTCTGTGGACCCTTTTCTCCTGGATTCCCTTTTCCACCTGCAAATGTGCACACATACACAGAGGTGCACACAAGCATGGAGACAATCATTCTTTGCTTCTCCATTCCCAGACTCAAGAGCCCTCCTGCATGTTTTCATACCTCTTCCACTGTTAAACCCGACTGTAGCATAGTGTCTCATCCTTTTCAGCAAAATGCTCTTATACCTCAAGCTTTGGTTAATCTTGCTTTGCCTTAGTGCATGCCCAAATCCTGCACTTTCATGACAAATCCTGTTTTTGGCTGAAGTCCGGTGGACAGTAAGATGCAAGGAGAAGCAATGAACTCTTTGGTCTGGCTAGTTCAAACCCAGCTCTGTTTCTGCTAACTTGCAGCATCTTACTCTGGACCTAAATCTTCAGCTCATGCAATCTGAACCATAATATGATCCATAACTAATGCCTACTCCACAGCAATCCTAAAATTCTCTCTAGATTTTCAGTACAGGCAGTAACCATGTTTGCTGCTGGATGCAGCAGTAAAGTCAAGCTGTTTTGCCCCTTGACCATTGAACAACCTTAACTCTAGCCAGCAGAACCCAAGTTTTTGCAAAGCAGGTTGCAGGAGTTTAAGCTTTGCAGCCATGTTCATCATTCTGTCCCTGAGTGCCTTTCAAGAAACTGAGCTCTGCACTCACTGTTGTCCAGTACATGAACTGTAACCTCATCCCTATCTTAACTGAAACCCAGTGACCCAGGCACAGCTCACATTTCAGCAGCCACTGTCAGGAAGACTTCAGGGTGCTGATCCCATGTGCTTTCTAAAGCTGAAAGTATAAGGGATTGAAGTATTGTCCTGTTCTGCATCTCAGAAAGTTGATCATGGAGCTGCCATGGTCTCTAACCAGTGCCTGGTTGTAGCTGGACTGGGAAGGTAGAGAAGCACACACTCATTCAAGTTGGAAGGGACCACACATGGTCACCCAATCTAGCACCTTTGCTCAGAGTAGGAACAGCTCTGGGCTGCATCCTGTTCAGATCTGAGCATCCCTGGGGACAGGGCATTCACAGACTTTGACCTGTTGTCAGAATGAAAACACATTTCCCACTATTTAACTGGAATTTATCCTCTTGTAATCAAAGCCTGCTGCCACTCATTCTGGCTCTGCACTACAGAAAAGTGTGCCTCCTCCTGAACTCTCCCATTAGGCAGTAGTGGATGGCATTTACATTCCCCCAAGCCCCTTCTTCCTGTGCATGGACAAACCCATTCCTCAGCCCCTGCTCATATGTCATGTGCACTAACTTCCTAACTACCTCTGTGGCCTTGGACTCTCCAGTATCTCCAGGTGACAGATAGATGGATATTTATGTAGGAAGTTTAC